CTCTATTAAGTGCCCAACCTCTAACTAGTGAATCTAACACTCCTGCAGAGATATCAGCCAAGTTTGGCACCATTACTTACAGCAAAGGTACCAAGATTTTTAGACAATTTATCATAAATTATAGAAGTATTTACTATTTCTTATCTTTAATTACAGTTTTTCTCTCTTATACTGAATTACTGATTATTTTCATTTTCTCAAGGATTTCATAATTCATTTACTTTTTTAATAAGTATTATTTACTGGAATTTAATTATTTCTGTATATTTGCTGCCTTTCAACTCCTCCAGGTGGCTCTGTGCTCAGAATGTTGAGGCATATACTCACGCCAGAAACGTTCCGGAAAGGAGTGCAGAGATATCTAACTGCACAGTAAGTCATTCAGCTTCATTAAGATTTAGAAGGTAGCAAATTAACTCGGAATTATTAAGATGTAATTAAATTGATAACTTACTGGTAGATTAAACCAAGAGTCTATTTGCCAACATTATCGTTACTTTGGACACAAAATATTCATTTCAATGCCCTGTTTTATCTTTTAATAACTGGAACAAGTGATACTCTCCATTTTGATAACCTGACCAATCCAGAATATAGAGTAAACAAACCAACAACTATTAACACTATAATAGACACTATTGCCATACGCGTTTTGACCTCAAGAGGTCATCATCAGTGGCATCAGGGAAATTAATACATTTAGTCAAATGGTTCAAACTGGATTTAGAATTAAAATGAAAAGGTATTTGACAAGATTTTTGAAGTGACACTGCACTAGATGCTGTTATTCACAGGAGTAAAACTTGCACTTAGCTATTGATCCCGTTGTGTGGTGGCCGTAGCTGGTCTCGGCGAGCTACAGTTGCGTCGTCTGTACCTGTGAACTCCAGAACCGTGGGTGAGAGCTGACCAATTCATTTATAAGCAAATTTTTAGGAATGTCAACATCTATTACTGCATCATGAACATTCTATGAAAATACACACAAAGACTAAAAAAAATTATGCAGGAAACAAATAATTGGTCCAATGTGAATGTGGGGGGGGGGGATAATGGATTACCCATATTTATTTATTATTTGTCCATTCTTTACCTTCAGTTAGTCTGAATAATCAGTAGAATGTGCCTCAGCACCAGACATTGTCCATCACACCGTAGTATTCTGACACAATTTTATGATATAATTACATGTATGTATGCTATTCCTCATGTTCACATGTAATACTGCTAAGTACACGTATTCCTCTTTATATTCCTGTTTGAAAAATGTGATTTCACTTCAGTGCACTCACTTAATTTAGGTTGGATTCAATTAATAGTACTGTATTACTCTTAGAATGTAAAATATTAGAAACAGCAATTTTTTGGTCTGAATTGAAATATCTGTGATATTTCTCTTTCATCTGTAATGCTCTTAATTGAAATATTATGTGTTCTTTGAACAAAATTAATGGAGAGAACACAACATGGGCTGGTCTTGTCTGCCCGCTTGTTTGTCTGTCTAGTTGGATGGTTTTGGATGGAATTTGGTATGCAGTTTGTGCCATTCTGCACGACCTCAAAATCATAATTTTTGATATCCTACAAGTAGTGATAACAAAATGATGGATGAGGAAATTCGTGAGCTGGACATTGAGGTGCTGCCATCTAGTAGCTAAAGTAACTAAGAAAATATTGAAGTCTGACCCTTTTTTTATAGTGGTTACCATGATTAATATTTGTGATTATTGCCATGCATTCCTTAAATATTTACCGTGGTTACTATGGTAATGGTGGCCCATGTTAATGCAAGTGGGAATCAGACGAAGTGTTTGTGTTTTTTTGGACTGTTTGTGTTTTGACAGGTTTGGAACATAAGTGTACATTAGGTTAGGTTAAGTTATGGCTGTATAGGTTAGGTTGTTTTGTTTAGTTTAAGTTATGGTCATTTAGGTGAAGATAAATGTTTAAATATGAATTCTGGATGTTTGATACCATCTCATAGGAAGACACTACTGATGATGCAGACTAGTTTAAAATAATACCTTTGTTAAAAAAATGCTCCATACAATATTTCGGTGAATTTCGTTGCCATCTACAGTATCATAAATTTTATTATTTTACCATAGTTCTTGGAACAATACAATACCAGAGGACCTTTTTGCTGCACTGGAGGAGCAAAGGATAGAAGATAACATAGATTCACATCCAGTGGATCATTTCTTTGTGGCATGGACCACACAGCCTGGCTACCCAGTCATATATGTCACAAGAGAAAATGATAAATTCACGGTCACACAAGTAAGTACAGCTCTTCAGAAATTGTTATAGAAAGTATATATACTTGTAAAGCTGTTCCACTGTATGCAGTACAGGCGCTCGGAGGGAGAGGTGTAGCTCCTACTGATTCTTAACCCCAGCAGTAGAGGGGGGTGAGTGGTCAGCATCATGCCTTGGCCACCCTTCACCCCCAGAAAAGGACCCCAGTACCCATCGGATAGGAGGCTGGGTGGGCAGTACAGTGACTGGCTACGGACTGGACAACTGGGGTTCAATCCCCGACAGGCGCAGAGGATTTCTTCCTCCATCCTCTGCATCCAAACCAATTCTGGGGCCCACCCAGCCTCCAAACCAATGGGTACCGTAGTCCCTTCGCAGACGTAAAGCATGGCCGGTGTGTTATGCTGACCACTCATCTCCATCTAGTGCCGAGGTCAAGAATGAGTAGGAGCTATACTGCCTCTCCCCCCAAATTCCTACATGGCGTATATTGGGAACGGCTTTACTTTACTTACCCATATACAGTAAAACCCCTCTAGTTGGACACCCCTATATCCTGGACACCCCTCTATATTGGACACTTTTAATTGGAACCGGCGAATATCCTATAATTTTACATGTCCACAACACCCTATATCTTGGACACCCCTTTATCCTGGAACTTGAACACCCCTT